GGCGCAAAACCGCTTGCAATCACCAGTTTACAGCCGCGGCCAGACAAACATTCGAATATTGAGCCTCAACACTGCTGCTTTGGCTGACTTGAACTAAACACCACATGAGATATTGAACGTGCAACTCGACTACATTTGATGGAACAGAAAGAAAAGGACTAACAAGCAAAGCATTCACATTAAAGGCCCTCTTGAGGAAACTAAGATCGAAATGCGCAGTGAACTCGGTTGGAGCGATTTTATCAACACAAGCCAGAATTAAACAAGAAGGATTAAGAAGTATTATTAATTAGTAGTGTTAGTACCTCGAGTTGCGCGGTCCACGTACAGCCGGACTCCACTAGGCTGGCTACTAGCTGCGCCCAGTCCTACCAACACAACATGCGCACACATTTACATACGAACAGAACGTACTTTATATTGTTAACAATTCTTCAAATGCAACTGCTTAAAGTTCCACTCTCTAGCGGAACATTCACTGACTGTTTCCTTTCTAGAGTTTGGAGCTGCAATGTTTTGCGGACTTTTGAAAACCGTGTTAAATGGCCAATTTGAAACTGGCGAGTTCTTCGGGCTTATAAGCGTAGTGGGAACGAGTCTCGCAAGCTCGATAAGATGTAAAAGGAAGAATGGCCAAATCGCGTAAATCACAGGCAGGGCCCTGACTTGGTAAAATACAAACCAAATCCGCATGAAACTTTAAACAATCCTTGGCTAATCCAGTGCTCGAACCCACATCTTGCCTGGCTGTTGAGGAACGAGCCACAAAGAAGAGCATTGCAAAATGGCCAAATTGCGCAAATCAAATTAGGTTTCCCATAATAGGTGTTGAAGATGCAAGCCACTTCTACTTGCGAAACGTTTTGCAACCCAAAAAACTCATCAGTTTCAAGCAATGACCGCGCAAGCCAAATTCTTTTGCCAATAGCAAATTTGTTTCATTAAACAGCACAGCGCCTAATGGGGACTGGCGTTTGAACCATGTCAGTACATACAATCTCGGTGCTTGGCACCCATTGAAAATTGAAGCAACAATTTGAATCAAAAACGAAATTCTACGGTGAAAACATCCGAAAATCTAAAAGGGCCGATTTGTAGGTGCACACAACATGACTGGTTATGCTCATGTGGCATTCCACCGGAACAAGCCAGATAAATGAAGAGTGTGGTGGTGATCGATGATGTCGGTTAATGAGTGCCTACGGTATAACAAACATGACTTACCACTCCCTGTAAGCAACAAAAATATATGCCGGCATTAAAGACTTTCGTTCGCTAGTTTACAGAGTCAACTTGCATCCACTATAGTCCGGTGTGTTATGCATGTGTTCGCCAAAAAATTCGGTGCTTCATGTTGCCGAAACACCGAACTTTTCCGAACAACTCCGTCAATGAATGAATGCAAATGTTCAACATGATCGAATGACGCGAATCTACACGGGCCAACAAACGGCCCTTTTGGGGGGGCAAAACAGGCACTAACTCACCACTGTTAGTTGCTCGAAATGCTGCTGAAACTGCATGTTTTGACTGTGAATATGGTAGTCGTTCTGCAAGGGACTCGGCTCCCCTGGACTGCACGGGGCTGAGTGTCGGCCCCCTAAAGTCGGTGATGGTTGCGGACTGGGCCTCGAACTTCTATAGCCGTCCATTTGAGGTAATTGCTAAAATAACAACAATTGGTTACATAAACTTTACGTCTTGAGTAAGACAATCTATCTATTAGATGCTCATTGATACACTGGGGTATTCTTCAACTTACCACTGGAGAAGCTGGAGATCCTGGTTGCTGGTACATTCCAGATAGCGCACCTAACTGCGAAAAATCGGCATTTTCCAACGCGATGTTTTTATCACTCTGAAACAGATCATTCAACGGTTAAAAGAAAAGCCCGATAGAATCAAACAACGATCAAAATCAAAGCCAAATGCATAAAACATTGCCATCTAATGAACGCACCTACCTGTGAATAAGATCGTTGGTGAACCCTAAAATACCTAGAATTACTTGGAACTGATAAATGATTCTGAAACAAAATAATAAAAACGTGCAAAATAAAAACAAAGTCTGGCGCAAATATAGGCAAAGTAAGGTAAAACAAAAGAAATAAAGCCACAATTAATTGAAATGTGTGTGTGGGGCAAAAGCGGCTAAAGAGACCACAACCACTGAATCGCTTACACAATCAATCGCTTAGGCGATTTACGTACCGAAAGGGACTGTGATATGGGCGGTGTAAAATTAAAGCGATTATGGTTTCGTATACCAGGCATCATACTGGTAGGCGATAGCGTTGATGGACTCGTGTTGATGGGACTCTGAAAAGCAATCAAACAGTCAAACAACCATCATCAACCACTGTTCCTTGGGGCAAGAACAACTAAAATCGAGTCCCAGTCAGATAAGGTTTGTGCCTTTGCAGGGTGATCCAAAATTGCATAATTTTTCCTGCATTTTCTATAAACAGATCTGCGTTCGTTTACCCATAGGTAACAGAAAGTTTTTCCCTTTCTCTATAGCGTTTTTAACATTGATCTGTCTCAACTCAGTTTAGGAAGTCGGACATTTCCTCCTCTGATGCTGCTAAGCACGTGCTATCGTCTGCAAATATACAGGCTTTTCACTTTCAACACGTGGCATCTAGTGCTATTAACATTAAATAAAAAATGTGAATAGTAAACAGCGACTACTTGAAGGAAACACTCCCACCAATTGGACCTAATTTTCATTTTTTTATGGGTGGCAAATAAATGCACCGGCTGTTCTTAACGAGCAAATTTGAGCCCAAATGCTGGTCGCTCGATAATTTTTCTGATGGTGACTCGGGCGCTACTCAAAAGAACGCAATTTCGCCTATAAAAGCGCTAAAGTTCAAGAAAATTTGAGCTCCAAAATATTGAAAAACCCAACACTTTTTCGCGCTTGTCGTTCCGCTCATATCAATTTTAGAACATCTTGATCGGTGACACGTGAATTCGAATGCGAATATTCCGGCTTGTCTTGGTATAAAACGAACCTTTGCCGATGAGTTTAGTTAATAGTTTGCCACGCAATTTCAGATCACCCTGCATCCCTTCATTTCTTCGAAGGCCGCACCACTCACAGAACTATAAGGTGAACTGTTGTCTTGATCTTGATCAAGGGGCGCATGGATCGGAGACGTAAAGTCCATATTCGTTAAATCAGGCAATGAGCCCGTATTTGCGATGGGAATCTGGACCATGCCAGGATCGTGCGCTGACGGGTAAATGCTGAAAGAAAAAACCCAATTCATAAGCAAGTTGATGGGATTTGGAGCGTTTTTCACTTACTGAATACCAGGTACTCGGGGTATATCACAACTAGATCGCGGCCTTCCATCGGCATTCCTATCTGGACCGTTCATGTTGGGCAACATGCCCCAAGACACTCTCTGAGCGGGATCATTCCTTTCCATGCCCATTCCCTGCAACATCCAATTTTTTCGACCTCTAAACATGGATTTTTAATCGAAATTACAGTAGTTAAAACAGTAGTGCAGTAAACTGAACAGTTTCCAAAATATTTTGTTCCTAAAGCTAAATGAAGTTTTTCGTTGTCCGATAATTTATAACTTTGAAGGGGATGTTTCTCAGCGTAGCGGACAAATAAGGCATCATGCCGGAGTCGTGGAGATCGCAGGTTTACATTCCTCCGAAAGCAGTAATTTTTTCTTTTCCCAAAAATTATTTGTCTGCTGCGCCAAGAAAAATCCCTTTCCTAAAGCTAAAGCCTAGAGTTAAGGTTTTTTCTTGTTTACAGCCAAAATTACAAGTTTTCTTGTCCAAACGTCGGAAATGTTTTCCAGTTATTCCAGTAAAAGTCGTGATTTCGACTCAAATTTCCACACTCAACAGCATTAAGTCGATTATTTTCGTGCAGAGATTTAAACTAGTCGAAAATTCAAAATAAATTCGCAAAAATTTGTGTCTTACAATTCAAATTTGGAAATCAAGTCAATATTTACACTCGAAGTTGAATCCTCCGGAGCCTCAACATTTCAAGTGAGTTTCAAAGTTGCCGCGTTGAGTTCAGATTGAAATATTCAAGCTAAATCATGCGAATATTTCAAACGGAAAGAGCCGAGATTGTGAGAAAGATTGGCGCTTTAAGCACAGAAGTTGCTTGAAATGCTACGCTCGTGCTTCAAATTCCACACATTTCACGTCGTATTTCTGTACAAAAGAGCAATAATTGGGTTTACACTTAACTGTCATCAGCATTTATTTAAAAGTGAACCACAACCCCGCAACCATATACTTGATGGTATAAAGGTGCATTCGCCATACTATCCAGATGACACGTCGAATCTAAAACTAAGATTTACCTGCATCGCACTTTGATGTAGTGCAGAATCGCTATGGGTACGACGCCACCCACTTTCCGATGGGGGGCTCAGGTACGTGCTGCTCGAATAGGGCGACGCTTTTCGCTCTCGGCTGCTACGAATGGGGCCGCCGGGCGATCGAGTCCGGCTCTGTCGCGGCCCCATATTGACCATTCGAGACTGGGGCGGCTCCTCATTGGGCTGAAACAACAACACAACATCTCGTCAGCTAAATATATGGTTAAGCATGGAAATTAACATTTTATGGCACAGGTTTTAATCGGAATATTCATGAGACTTCCGTCCATCAAGCCAGCGTTAGAACAACCTGTTACGAACGAAATATTCGAATGGACTCAAGGGTAATGAACAATGCTTTTTTTCTCTTCTAATGAAATATTTATTTAAAAATCGCTTTTTCGAGAGAACGTCCATGAACAGCGCCGCGCTAAGCAAGTGAGCGGCTATTTACCGATGAAACTCGATGCGATTTTTATAATTACTTATTCCTACAGTTAATTGGTAGTGGAAATGCGCCACAAATGCGGAAATCTTTCCTCATCACCGGTTCTAAGGAATGCCTATCCAAAGTGCTGAAAGGACAGTTAGACGGTGTAAAACACTGCAGTGCATTGCATTGCAGGGGAACGGCGACATGAAGGAACGATAATCAATTTTCTCCGCATTCATCATTGAACATTTAATTAGCAAAATAATGCATTAATTACCGTAATTTTCCTACTGAAGCGGATCGATCGATTTCGAAATGTTTACGGAAATATTTTGACCTTTACATTATCAAGGTTTAGCGCAACTGATCAGTCTGATGTAATCGTTTGCATTTTACTCTCTTCGGCATTTCGATCATCAGATCTGAAATTAGTTGACCCAATCATACGTTTACGTAAAAGATGGAAAACAACAAAAGCGCGGCATCTTGACTCAATGATGGATGCTCCATATCCAGAATTCAACTGATTTGCCACGTAAAAGTTAAACTAAAAAAATCACTTTTGTTGCACTCGTTTGCTGTTTCGCTCACTAAAAGCAGTAATTTTTAATGGGCATTTTGTGTGAATGTTCACTTTTTACGCCAACGCTAAAGTAATGAGGTGCTTATCCGAAACCCAGACGACTATTTAACTGCAGCCACGTGCAAAGCAGCTGAAAAATCGTTCTGCTTCCGTTTTATTGGCTTAAAACGCGAAACAATTGTACCATTTCATGTATTGTTTTAATGTTCCAACTTTAAAAGGTGTCGCAACATGAATTCCACTATTTTCGCAGGTTGTGTTAATCAGATTCGACCGATACATTGTGGTTTCAAGCTACCAGATCGCTCTGCACAAGTGCAATCAAAACAGTTTGGTTTTCGCATCAAGCAGAAATACTCAAATAAGCGTTTTTCTCCTACTAAATGTAGAATCAAGAAAAAATCGCTGGTGGGCAGTTTTTTTTCTGGAAAGTGTCAACTGTTAAAATTTAAAAAAAGCGAAAGAGCTTCTTTGTAGAATTTACAATAATATTAGGTCGCAGTAAACCTACTGGCATGCACTGGTTTTTCCTGAAAAATAGCAATTGTTTTATTCAAAATATGTACATTTTACCGGAAAAAATCAAACTCTGGGCATTGCAGCAAAAAAAATGCAAAAGAACGAAAGCTACAAGCTTTTTTTTAGTGTAAAAATGTGCTGTTTTTCTCCTCAAAATATTTAAAGGTGAAATATTGTGTGCATTTTCTTAGACAAGACAACGGTTTAAATGTTTCCAACTAGCAAAAACCCGCAAAAAAGTTTTTATCTTCCAAACTGAAAGTATTTTTTGTTGCTGAAAAACCTTTGGCGAATCGCTTTCTTTGAGGAACAGACTTTCAGACCGTCGTGGACAGTAATTTCTTCCTGAGGTTTCAGCACGAGCGGTTGACATCATCAGAGCTCGATAGCAAGCAAAACCCAAAGCAGCTAGCAGCAACAAAATTTTTCCACGACGTCCTAAAACTCTTGACTCAATGGTGGATGCGCGCAATTGAGCCTTTGAGGCTCTCTGAAGATCGATGGAGCAAATTGAGGCATTTCCAAAGAAACGACCACCGCAACGGTTAGTGCTGAAGAAAAATTAGACGCCTGCTGATAAAGCAGCGTAAATATTTGCCAATCGAGAGCCGTTTAAAGTGCTAATGGCCATTCTTTTCTATTGTCTATCGAGTGATTCAGGCGTTAATCAGTTGGAACAACAAATGTTGCGCGAATAAACTGAAGCTGTTGCTTATTTTGCTTGGCTGGATGTTGTCTGTTTTCGCAGATTTTTGTTATTCAACAATTACATTCGCTCAACCGGCCAAATAGAACCGATAAAACCCCAGAGCGTGAAACATTGCCGCTCATTTATTTATTATAAGCAGGTTTATCCGGCTAATTAAGAGCCATTTGTATGCCATGTTTTCGTGTCTTTGCTTGGCAAAGTCGTCAAATCGCCGCGAGATTTATTTACGATTTTATTCCACATGCCGCTTATTTTGGAAGTAATTAAGCCAAGGACAGCGTTTATTTAATAGATCTAAAGATCTCAAACAACCCAAGTTGTAAAAATTATAAAGCGTCTTATGGTATGGTCGAGGTCCTAAACAAAGCCCAACATGGACATGGATAAGGGAGAACATTCTTAATGCATGTGCATCCAAACGGGTTTTTTCACCAGCCCACTTTTTTTCTTCGAGTCTCTTTTAATGAAGATGAGCAATTTTCCTCCATTATAGTGCTCTGATGGCTGTTCTGATTCTGCAACGGGCTTCTACAAAGGAGGTTGTTCCTGTCTGTTCATTTGCATTAATTGTACAGTTTTTTTGCAGTTTTCAGTGTCTAAATCCTCATTTTCCATACAAGAAAACCACACCGTTGAATCCCCAGTTCTTCCCTATGTTAATAGAGCAGCCCATCGAATTCATACATAAATAAATAACTGTCTGCGCCATCAAGATCTTTGATCTCAAGGCAGGGAAAATCGTTAGTAAATTATTAATTTAATTGTATCCAAAGGTCATTAAAACTAAACTCGAGTTCTCTAAAACTACTCGAGTTCAAGTGGATAATAGTTGCAAAGTTGGCCGGACAAGAAGCCCATACCTGGTGCATTGCAGCGGATTGAAAATTAGCATTTTTCCCCCCCAGACTCGCTGGCCGTAAAGTTTCCCAGCGAAGAAACCCAAGTTAAAAATAGCGGCGCAGCAACAGAATTGCAAGGGCGGCATTTGAAAATGATGCACAAACCGAGTTTTCCCTCAAATTGGGCTCGGACAAAAAACAATGAAGTAACATGCATAATGTATCGCATTCGTACGTGTTTCCGTTAAATATCGGAAGCACATGTATATGTTCACACCACCATATACATGTAATAAGATAAGCGCTTCAATGCTAATTAGAATGATGTGTCATTTATAACGTTCCAGCATTTAATTATTGTAATAATTAACCGAAATCGTTTATTATGAAATGCAAACAATGTAATCTAGATGAGGGCAATGTAAGTCTGTTTATAACATTTGGAGCGCTTATGTCAAGGCGAATATGCTGGAACAAATACACCAACAGCAAGTAAGTACGTAGTGGAAACGAAGACAATCCGCCAAAAAACTACTTCTAGTTCTAAACTACCAGCTAAGAAGGTGCAACTAAAACCATAAAAGTGCATCATTCTCCATTCAGGCCCCTGTTTTTTGTCGGGCATCGATAGCCCAGAAAAAAAATAAAAATTCATTCAAAGATCAAAAGCCCAGTCACCTTAGACACGGGGGGCGACGGCGACTTGACGCCGGGGCGGGGCGTCGAAACGTCGGGCAGTGATCCGCCCCGAAATGCGCCCAGTGCTTGGCCCGACCCGATGCGCAGCGAATTTTTCGACTGCGCAGACCGGTCGACGTGAGGCGACGCTACCTGGAACAGCACAAAATCATTTTTCTGCAAGACAACTTGGGAACGCATAAGCAGGRCTTTTGGGTTACTAGTTAACATGGCRAAAACYCGAAAAATTTGCACAAACTATACCCACAAAATTGGCAAATGATGAYAATGCCTTGACTACATTAATCATGTTTGATGCCCAATYATTATGGAAGCATGGGTTTCAAGTCCGCATATAGAGTGGCCCAACGTACATACTGCTAKTTCGTCAAGGGCAACTTTGAGGGCAGCAGAAGAAAAAAATTGTTATRAAATCCTCAAAAAATGYAATTTGGACGTGGTTTCAAAGGCAAATAMCRCYAGACTGGCGCGAATAAGTTTTTTGCAAAAAACCGGGTGGAAAATGTWGTTGAGGTTCMAAYTTTAAGAGCAGAAATGGTGAAAYGGGGATGCAGTTTAGGGGTTGAAACYGGTTTTTTGCCATTTGCGGCRAATCGTGACYGCCTAGTGGAAAACGTTCAATGGCAGTGGAAGAGTTGTAGATAAWAGGGAAATGTAAAACTTCTGTATTTCACACTTTTTGGCATAACCTCAAATTAACCGTCAAAATGGCCAGTTTTTTTGTAATAATTTTTTTCTCGCCCAAGAATTRTTTAATTTACATGAAAATGCKTAAAAGTGCGTCTTTTTTTGGTGTTGAAAATACATGATTTTTTTGCRKTTCAGAATACGACTGGTTTTCGAGTTATGTACATTTTTCGAAAAAAACTACCCCTTTCCCACGAACATTCTCTTGATACTTTTTCGTATTTTGAACGTCTATAAGTGGTCATAAGAGTGGATTTCAAACAGATTTCTAGTCATAGTTGTATTCCAGCGTTAATATCTTTAAGCAAAGAGTTTATGCTATTTATTTAACATTTTCAACATGGTTTGCGCTACTTAAGTMCTGTAATAAAAAAAWTTCAGCTGTAATAATCTGACATAAAAGCAACTTAAAGTATGTAAATATAGTCCACTATTAATAAAAATAATGAAGAAAATCGAAAAACGAATCATGATTCAGAGGCAATTGTTCGTGGAACATAAGGTAGGTTTTTTTCGAAAAATGTACATAACTCGAAAACTGGTCGCCTTCTGAACTAGGAAAAACTCACTCATGTTTATTCAGCCCCCTCAAAGACAAAATTTTACAAATTTTCATGTAAAACAAATCATTTATGCGCGAGAAAACAGTTAAGTACTGAAAAATAGGTTTTTCCCATTTTGCTGGTTAATTGGAGGTTATGTCAAAAAGTGTTAAACACTAAAGTTTTAGATTTTTGTATTATCCACAACTCTGCCATTGAACCTTTTCCGCTAGGAGGTCACGTTTCGCCGCTAATCGCAAAAACCCGTCTTCAACCCCTAGACTTCATCCTCCTCACCCTCACCTCAACAACATTTTCCACCTGGTCCTTTCCTGTTATTAAAAAAATCGACATTTTTTTTAAGAGAAAAATATACGAAATTGAAAACTTTGGAACGCAGCAGTGTTTCACTCAGTATTCTCGAGTACAAAAGTTCAAACGTTCCCTGGTGGCTAAAATTATAATCGCCAGTTAACCTAGCACTTTGACACTTGTTTTGTTGACATTGGTGACACATTGGTGTTTACGTCTAATTGCGATTTGTTTTGTATCTAATCAACTTTTGGAAGTACAGTTGAGTCCGGATATAACAAACTTGAAAAATGAACTAAAACTGGTTCGTTATATCCGGAGTTCGTCATAAGCGAATAATAATATAAAAACACATGGTGTATTTTATTTCTTTATTTTTACATAGAGTAGTAAAAGTTAGTAGGTATGACTAAAAAGAACACAAAAAGATAAACAAAATTCAATTTGAAATCTACTTTATAAAGTCTGTAATTTTTGTTTGTACATTTCTGCTGCAAAAATAGATGTTATT